TAAGAGAAGTAGTCAGGGCACTAAGTCAGACAGACAAATGGAAGTCCCTCAGTGATGAGAAACCTGCTGGTATTGTTAAAAACTCCTGAAGTCTGCTCTCTTCCAGTCAGCCAGGCTTCTAAAATGGCAATAGCTGCTTTTTACCATTAAAATATCTATTTTCCTAAAAGCCAGTACTCATGGCATCTTTTCGGTGGATGGAACCCTGCAAGGGAAAGATTCAAGAGAACTTCAGAATAGGTCTGTTCTCCCCTGTCTGGAAAGAGGGGAAAACAGAACTAGGGAACATGGGGGTGGTTTTGCTATATCTGTCTAAAACAATGCGGCCTGAAGTAAATGTACACATTTGTTCAATCAGGACAGTAGGTACACATAAATCTAGGAGTATCATACACACACATTTCTTTCGCATGCTTGAAATACTTTATTGGAAAAAATATTAAAGGAAAAATTGTGTAAAGTGAAAAGGAGACAGGGACCAAGTAAATGTAGGCTGGTGCCTAAGCACAATGCAAAGTCCAATCCTGCTGGTTTGATTAAATGGAGTTGGCAAGCAACACAATAAACACACACAAGCCTCCCGGGAACACTCAACTCCAAGATAAAATGGACTAAAGTCAGAAGTGAATTTTATTGTTTTATATTTTATTACAAGATAGTCCTTTGATATCAATCTTGTTAACAAAGGCAGACTGGTATGTTCATCTTTTGCCAAATAAAATGCATGTCTATATTAGAAGTTTTACTATTATTTTAAACTGCATGGACATTTGTTAAAATCAATGAAAGCCTAACTCCAGAGGTACAAATAGGACAGCGTAGTTTTCAGTACTAAAAACCAAGTGGGATGAGAATAAACCGGCACTGCAGTGCATGCTGCTGTTTAAACAGCAATCAGATGCTCTATACCAAGAAGTCCATACCAACAAGTGACTGACAGCCTTTTAGAACCTACACAGCTTCTATCGGACTCAACACCAGTTTTCCCAACAATCTGCTTTGGTATATACACATCAAGAGATCATTAGATTAGGTTGCTGTTGTTGTCTTCAGTATATCAAGTCAATTCCGACTCATAGCAACCCTATACAGGATTTCTGAGGAGCATGATGGTGGGTCTGAACCACTGACCTTGCGGTTAGCAGTGCAGTGCTTCCTACAGTGTCGCACCAGGACACCTAGATTAAGATGTTGTTGTTAAATGCCACTGAGTCGGTTCCAACTCACAGTGACCCTCTATAGGGTTTCCAAAGAGCGGCTGATGAGTTTGAACCGCTGAACTTGAGATCTAAACTGACCTTGAGGTCCAGTGCATTATCCTGCAGCACCACACCAGTACTCCTAGACTATGAAATCAGACTATAAATTCTCCTGTTTTGAGGAGTGGCTGGTGGGTCTGTACCACTGACCATGCAGTTAGCAGTCCAGTGCTTATCCTACAGCGCCACACAGGGACCCCTAGATTAGGGTATCAGGCTAAAAGTTCTCCAGTCTTAAGGATAACTCACCAATGGAAAAAAAAAAAAATCACACAAAACATTCACAGAGAAGAGGTTGCAGACTGAGCTCATGGTCTACATCTGGCCATTATGTTGCTGGGCTCATACAGCATTAAAAATAAAAAAATAAAAAAGCTGATCTCCCAATGAAACTTCATGAAAGTATGCATTCCTGGATTTCCTTTTTTTTTTAAATATCCAAAGTTCTGACCTCATCAGGCTCTCATACTTACTTGGCTTGTACACAAGTGGCAGCTGCTCAGTCCCCACAACTCTCCATCACCTTACAGGGACATTCACTAGCCACACTCACATGATCTGCCCTGCACCTGGAGGCATTTTGTTGTTGTTGTTGTTGTTGTTAAGTGCCCCGGAGCCAGTTCCAACCCATAGCGACCCTGTATAGATAGGTTTTCTATTAAGGAGCAGCTGGTGAGTTTGAACCACCGACGCTGCGGTTCAAATGACCTTGAAGTTTGCAGTGTGACACTAAGCACAGCTCCACTTTGGAGGCACTGGAAATAAACGGAATCTCTTGAGGAAAGAACTAAGTGGGGGGAGGGAAGGGAGGCGAGCAGGGGCTGTACGAGGAAGTAGGCTTACTTTCAGAAATGTTTAATACCATTACAAGGTGGAAGAGGGAGACACACAGCCTAAACCCCACCACTAACTCACACACAATTCCATGGTCCTGATTAAGCAGCTTCCACATACATAACCCTTTTTCTTATGCTGATAGTTTCTTAACTATAAGGGATTCCTGACTATGAACAAAGCTTATTGAGGCTTAGCAGGGAAATGACTCTGCTCCCATGTTGCTTAACAATTCAGCCAGGTGTACAGGCTTGCTTATGAAGGAGTGCTCTCACTATGCAAGTGCACGGACAAGCCACAGCAAATTCCTTTCTACTTTCTAACGTATCAGATGCCTCCAAATGCAGTGCCCAAACTCATTATCAAGTAAACTTAGCATCCGTAGTATGTAAAGGCAGTTTTAATGATTCCCACCCCCGCCAAAAGAAGCTTCACGCAAAGAGGAGAAATTACTTATCAACATAAAAATCATTATGAGATATATACACAATAGATGCACATACAGAAATCAAACAGAATGCTACTCATTAACTTCAAGAAAATATAAATGTGTCAAATCAAATTAAGGAAAAACATCAACAATTTCTTTATCGGGTACATACACATATAGAAGAGTAAGTCTAAAAGTATTGCTACAAAATCATAGATAGCTTTGTCAAACAAAAATACCAAAATGTGAAGCTATTGTCTCTTGACCTATCTTTCATTTGGTCTATACACTTCAGAAGGCAGAGTTTCCATCTCTCTAACATTCCCCTTGTGGTGCTGTGGGCTAATGCATCAGACTGCAAAGTCGTTTGAACTACAAGATAGGTGGTTCAAGCTCACCAGCTGCTCCTTGGAAACCCTATACAGGGTCGCTATGGGTTGGAATCGATTTGACGGCACTTCACAACAACAACAAACCCTCCCCCTAAGGAACTCTGGTAGCATAGTGGTTATGAATCAGGCTACCAACCTCAAGGTCGGCAGTTCGAAACTACCAGCGGTTCCACAGGAGAAAGATGAGGCTTTCTACTCCCGTAAAGATTTGCAGCCTCGGAAACCCTGTACAGGGTCACTATGAGTCCGCACCGACTCCACGTACTTAACTACAACAACAACCCTCCCCTGGAGTCCTGGGGTGGTGCCGTACGATATGCACTCGACCACAAGGTCAGTTGGAACAGCAAGGATGTTGGTTCAAACCCACCAATCGCTCCTTGGAAACCCTATATAGGCTCACTATGAGTCAGAACTGACTTGATGGCACTTAACAACAACAACAACCTTCTCTAAAGAATTCCATCCTCTTCAATTTCTACCACATCAAATCAGCAGTTTGCCATCTTTGAGGAACTCAACTCATGTTCTTTGAGTTTTGTAAACAGTCTGAAAGGGCAAGATCAGGGCTGCAGGTAGATGGGGTACAGTCTCCAAATGAAATTCTTACAGGACAACCTGTGCTACCCTTGAAAACTGAGTAGATGTGCTGTTGTGACACGAAAAAAATTCCACAGCATAACTTTCCCATTCTTTTCCTCACCACACAGTTCACAATTAAAAAAACAACTTCTTCCTTAAAACTCCCATGATTGTCCTGTTTCCTTTGAGAAAATCTATCAAGGTTACCCCTTTGGCATCCCATAAAACAGTCATCATAACCTTCTACGCTGATCTCTCTCTGCTTTGAATAAACTGGCCCAAAAGATCCCTTGGAAGTCACTCTTACGATTGGATCTTTTTTTGAAGACACCCCAAGAAGACTAAGACAAGCGTTTTACTGAGCGAGCTAGTCTTCAGGCACCCATGGATCACAGAGACATGCTCAAAACATGTTTGGTTGGGAATAATCCACACATATATGAACCAGGGAGTCCTGGCATGGAGCTGTGGGCTAATGAGCTGGACTGCAAGGTTAGTTTGAATCACTGGGTCCACGGTTCATGCTCACCAGTTGCTCCTTGGAAACCCTATACAGGGTTGCTATGAGTTGGAACTGATTTAACAGCACTCAAGTACATCAGCAACATATGAATTGGAACCATAATTATTGTTGTTAAGTGCCATCCAGTCAGTTCTAACTCATAGAGACCACGTATACGGTTTCTGAGGAGCAGCTGGTGGGTTTGAACTGCACACCTTATGGTATACAGTCCAGTGCTATTCCTACAGTACCACAACAGGAGTCCACATGACTGAATGTAACTGCTATAACCTATGAAATCCTATGGAAAAGGCGGTAGGAAGTGTTGGGGATGGGAGGATGGGCTAGGAATGCCTCACCAAGGTGAAATTTAAGCTAAGATCTAAAAGCACTGAGAAAGTTTACAGTAGAACAAAGAGCATCCATCAAAGGAACAGAAAGTGCAAAAGCCCTAGGCAAAAGTGTGTTTGGCACAGCTATAGGAAGAATGGCTGGTGGGTTTCTGCCAGCCTTGCGGTTAGCAATCCAGTGCTTACCCTATTACATCACACTATAAATAGCAATACACTTTTATTTATCTTTATATACGCTCCCCATAATTATGACCGAAAAATCAGGATACGCTTAGAATCTGTTAAGTTACCACTATAAGGCACTTAACAACAACAACAACAACAACAATATAGACATACGACAAGAAAAAAAAAAACCACCAAAAAGAATATTGAGTGGAACATGTTTCCAGAGTCCATAGTACAATAGTCTCACAGCACTTTATGTTATCAAAACCTAATTTCCCAGATCAGAAGTATCAAAGTTCATGGTCTGATTAGTGCTTGCAGAGATTCAAGCAATGTGAATATATGAAATTCACAATATGAAAGAAGTGTCCTCTGCCTTAGTATTATAGAAAGGGCAGCAAACATAAAAATCACATCCATATGTAATTTCCACAACTTGGGTTTTTTTCCCCCAGATAGATGAGAAAGGTAAGCACTCACCAAAGAGAGCTGGCTCCATGTGGATCTCAGCGGCTTATGGGGGATCACAATTTTTTCATCTGACTTCTGTTCTTTGGGTTCTGACTCTTCATCAGAGTCAATGTCAAGAGCCTTTTCTTTATAGTTCTGATACAGGACTGCATTTTCTGCAATAAAAACAATGCCTACATATTACTAAAGGCCCCCATCAGTGTGCTACTTGTTCTAAACAAACATCCACATTCATACAATGTTTGGTCTCTAGTTTGATAAACAGACAGACAAATGGATCTTGTCACTACTGAGTAATTACAGAAACATGGTTCTCTTACTCACAAAGCTCTGACTCTAATTAATCTTCAGGAGGAAGAGACTAACCCATGTAAGAAATATCAACTGAAGAAGTTTCTATATTTCTGTCCATATCCTGGTGGCATACCAGCTAAATGCTGAGCTGCTAAACAAAGGTTGGTGGTTCAAACCTACCAGCAATTCCACAAGACTAAAGACTTGGTGACCTGCTCCCGTCTAGACTAAAACCCACTGGCATTAAGTGGATTCCAACTCGTACCAATTGATTAGGCCAGAGCAGAATTGCCCCATAGAGTTTCCAAGGCTGTAAATCTTTAAGGAAATTGCCTGCCACATCTTTTGCCCATGGAGAGGCTGGTGGGTTCAAACTGAGCACTTTAACTACTATGCCACCATTATTCCTTGTGTCCAGTAATCACAGGCACCTAGTAGACAGTCTCTAAATATCACCCGAACAAATAAATTAATGAGTGATTTTGACTATTTTTCTCATTAGGTTGTTGTTTCATGAGAGGAGAACTAGCTCCTGTTTTCCTTTTCACAATTAGTCCCCCAACATATAGTCTAAAACAGCCAAAACCCAAACCCATTGCCACTAAATGGATTCTGACTCAGTATTATTTGTTAAAATGATAGCTAAGTAGTGATGAATATTGAAGAAAGAAAGAGTAGGGTGTAAACACAGTTTTAATCTAAAAACAGTGATTTCATAGGCTCTAGAATAAGCACTGAACTGCTAACCACAAGGTCAGCAGTTTATACCACCAGACACTCCTTGGAAACCCTGTACAGGGTCTCGCTATGAGCTGGAACCAACTCCACGGCACTTAACAACAACAACCCATCACGTTAGGTGCCATCGAGTAGATTCCAATTTATAGAGACCCTATATGACAGAAGGCAGTTGTTAAGTGTCATTGAGTCGGTTTCAACTCATAGTGACCCTATATAGGGTTTCTAATGAGCAGTTAAGAAGCTCTGGTAGTGCAGTGGTTACGAATCGGGCTACTCATCTCAAGATCAGCAGTTCGAAACTAACAGCAGGTTCTGCGGGAGAAAGATGAGGCGTTCTGCTCCCGTAAAGATTTACAGCCTCAGAAACCCTATGCAGGGTTGTCGCTATGGGTTGGAATAGACTCAACGGCACTTAACAACAACAATAAGGAGCAGTTGGTGAGTTTGAACTGGCAACCTTATGGTTTGCAGTCCAGTGCTGATCTTACAGTGCTAAAGCAGGAGTCCATATGACAGAATATAAAATCTGACGGAGAAGGAGCTAGGGAGTGCTGGCAGTGGGGGGATGAGCTAGGAATGTCTCACCAAGGTAAACGGAAGCAAAGACCTAAAGTGGTGAGACAGTGTACAGCAGAGCAAAGAGCATTCCATCAGAGGAACAAGAAATCCAAAGGCCCGGAGGCAAAAGTTTGCTTGGCACATCTACAGGTACAAGGAGTAGAGTGAGCAAGGGGAGAAACTACAGGAGAACGTAGCAGGTGAGGAAAGGGCAGAGCATGTAGAGCCTTGGCTCCATGCCACTGAAAGGACTTTGGTTTTTACTGTGAATGAGATAACAAGTCATTACAGGTTGTGAGGACACAATGATGTGAGATCAGTGCATACCTACAAAGTAAGGTTTATATAGAGTGCTCCAAGAAGAGATTGTCAGAAAAATTCAATCCAGTCTGGGGGATGGGACTGTATCACGGGGAAATCTAAGCTCAGTGAGCTGAAAAACTGCAGAGCTAAAGAAAAAAAGCCTATGTTAAAGCCCTTGAAGCAGGAGAAAATTTAGGAGGATTTCAATGAACTAAGGAAGGTCAATGTGGCTGGAATTGAGGCCTCCAGTGGGCAGACGGTATATGGTGAATTTCCAAAGATTAATCACAGCCAGTCCAGATCAAGCAAAACTTCCTTGGCCACATTAAAAAACAGATTTTATATCTTGGGTGTCTTCACACTGTGTTTTATGGGAATACACTGAATTAAATGGGACTGCACAAAAAGGAAAGATTTCATTAGATTGGAAAACAATACACTAGATTACCAAGGAGAACAATTAGAATGCTAATGAGTTGGTCAATGTGCCCAAATTTCTATCAATGAAAGACAATGGAGCTTGGGGCTAGGCACTTAAGGTACTTAAAAATAATCAGGTGATGGACTGGTTAAGAGGACTGTTTAGGATGCTTCCTAGATCTTTAGGTCTCACATCTGGAAAGTAAAACATTCAGGTTTAGGAGTCCCTGGGTGGTCTCAAATGTTGGAGATTTGATTTTACAGAGAGGCAACTCAAAAGAAAGGTCAGTTGATCTACTTCAGAAAAATCAACCCTGGAAAAACCTAGGGAGTACAGTTCTATTCTGACACACGTATCAAAATCATTGGACATCAACTACTTTTTAGTTTTAGAGGGGATATGTTAAGTTTCCTATCTACCCAAGCAAACAAACATCTGCCTCTTCTGAATTCCCATAGCACATTCCATATGCAAGAATAGCTAGAGCAGCACAAGAGTCTAAGCCAGACTTTACTTTTCCAATTATTCTGTACATGTAAAACAGCTTACGAGGGTAAAATGAGTTTCTTTCACCCCTGTAACATCCTAAGGAGTCCTGATGATACAGTGGCTAAAGCACTAATAAGAAGTTAGATGATTTGAACCCATCAGCCAGCCATTGCTTGGGAAAAAGATGTGGAAGCCTGATGGGGCAATTCTACATTATCTTTCAGGGTTGCTAGGAGTTGCAATTAACTTGATGACAGTAAGTTTTATAGTACTCTTTAAAGTACTTAGTGGTTGGAACATCTGTATATAACGGTGATGCTACGAGAGGGCAAATGGAAAACTTCCATTTGCTCACAAACTTTTTGAAGCCTCCGCATATGGTTTCTCATTTATTCTCCTAACAATAGGTACATCAATATCATTAAACTCCTTTCCCACCTGATGAAACTGGGAATCAGTGAGGTTATAAGGTACTCAACTGATGAGTAATCGAATGGGACTAGAACCCACGCCTGCCGAGCACCAACATCACGGACTCTCACCACTGTTTCCTGAATTATGACTTTTGTTAGTCATTAACTGTTAAAGAGTCCTGCATTCCTTGTGCTCTTATGTATGGAAAATAATTTCTAGAATTATCTGATTTGAGAAGAGGCAGGGAGGGTACACAGAAGTAATTGTTGTTGTTATTTGCCGTGGAGTGGAGTCAGTTCCGACTCATAGCAATCCTGCATAGAGTTTCCGAGGCTATAAATCTTTACGGGAGCAGAACGCCTCATCTTTCTCGCACACAGAAGTAATGTTTCTGTATAAAATAAAAAAACATGAAACTAGTTATAATGAAAGGTCTTTCCTCTGACTTAAAAAAAAAAAAAAAATTCGTAGCCCTCTGTGGCAAAAGTCACAGAATCAGTGTCAAATCCCAGAAAAATACAAAACATTTCCCTAAGAAATGTTAGGAGTCCTGGTGTCGTGTTATAGGATAAGTACTGGACTGCAAGGGTGGTTTGAACTGTGAGGTCAGTAGTTCTAACTCACCAGTTGCTCCTCAGAACCCCTACAGGATCACTCTGAGTCGAAACCAACTGTACAGCACTTAGCAACAACAAGAAGAAATGTTAGGCATATACTCAGTAATTTTACTTTGAGAGAGTGCAGTCCCTAAGTGATGCAAGCAGTAAACTCAATTGGCTGCTAATTAAAATGTTGGTGGTTTGACAGGAAGAGTGTAAAAAGAGAGGGAACAGAAGCTAACACTGTTAACTGGTGGTACAATGAGGGGACTGCAATTGAAATGATTTGTTGAACACAAAACTGATGAGCTATCTGTAAAAAAGAAAACTTCACTCAATTCACAATAAAACATTTTAAACAAGAAACATGTTAGAGGTTTGAGTTCACTCAGAGTTGCCCAGTGAAAAAAGGTTGGGCTATCTGCCGCCGAAAAAATCAGCCACTGAAAACTCTATGGAGCAACTGTACTCTGATAAATATGGGTTTGCCATGAGTTAAAATTAACTGAGAGCAACCAATGAACTGGCTGTTTTTAGAATGTCACAAGAGAAAGCGAACTGGAATCAAAGGAACAAATTCTGGCTTTGCTACTTGTTGTTGTTGTTAAGTGCCGTCGAGTCGGTTCCGACCCATAGCGACCCTGTACAGGGTTTCCGAGGGTGTAAATCTTTACGG